GCTGATGCTGCTGCTGATGATGATGGCAATGATGATGGCGATGGCGATACCACCCCTGGCCCCGCCACCACTACCACTACGACCACCCCTGGCAGCGGCGGCTGCGGCGGCACCTACTTCTAGTATCGTAAGCAGCATCTGAGCAGTTTGCCTGATCTGGCCATTCCGACATCTCGTCTGTGTAGTCTGAAGCCTTCATGGTCACCTTGGAGAGCGCCTGCAGCCCGCGTTCACACGCAACACTGCTACTCCTTCGGTACGCATTGCAGTCATAAAGATCATGAGGACGATGGTCGATACGGGGAAAACAGCAACTTCATTTGGCTCTTTGTTTGTTCCTGCGCTCTAAGTTCGAGAAATCTGCAAGGAGCAAAAGAAAGGAACACTTTTTTGGTCCTGTTCCTCCTTGGATAGCTGCTGCATGCCCTGCCCCGCAGACTCCCTGGCCCTTACAGCCATAGATTCTATAGATAAGCTCTCGAGTCTTGGCGAAGAACTCCACTGCTGTAGTTGAAGCATGACCCTATGTACAGAAACCAGTCGAATGCATGGGAGTTTAGTGACGTTGGGCATGCAGCGCTTGAATCATCAACACTAATACTGGTTCTGTTGGTTCTGGTCGTGCTGGTGCTGGTGCTGCTGCCGGTGCCGGTGCCGGTCCGTGCTGGTGGGTGCTGGTGCTGTTGCTGGTGTTGCTGCTGCTGGCTGTACCGAGACCGCGGCCGTGGCCATGGCAGTGGCGGCGGCGGCGGCGGTAGCAGGAGTAGGAGTAGGAGGAGTAGGAGGAGTAGTAGTAGTAGCAGTAGTAGTAGTAGTAGCAGCAGTAGTAGTAGTAGCAGCAGCAGCAGCAGCAAACGTAGTAGCTGTAAGACGAAAGCTGAGACTACAGCCCTTACCTGGTATTCTAACATTCCGACTCCTCCTATCTTTTGTTGCAAAATTATGTTTCAATGCTATGGCGCCACTCTTTGACAGGGCTAAGAGTATAAACGCTTGCAAAACTGGAAAGAATTGACAAGCTCTTGTTTGCGCATGGAACACCTTTGATCCCAAGGGCCTGCCAAGCAAAGGGACCCTCTGGGAAAGTAGGACCGGCCGTCAATGGGACTACCAACCCCTCAAACTTCATTCCTAAGTCGTAGGTGTAAATCCCTGAATCCTGGTTGGCTCCCTTGATTTCCACTGCCTCCTGCAACCACGATGCAGCTCGCTGCCAGCTACCTTACTGGTTGGTACTGGGGAATTAATGGGGAACAAAAACCACCATGTAGGATTGCATGGGAATGTCCATGACTGAGGACGCGCAAGTGTAGCTCTCATTTACCTCACTATCCTTACAATGGAGACTCCAATATGGGACCCCTCAGCTTTGGAAACCATAAATCCTACATCCCAGTATGCAGGAGGTTCTCGAAATAATCCCTACTTCATCCCCCAGGAGGAAACATAGAATTATCTGCAATCCCTGTATATTCCGCCTGCTTTGAGAAACTGTCATATTCTCATTGGAGATAGGGTAGCACTCCATTTCTCCAAACCCTTAAACCCTATGCCTATGCCTGAAAAGATCCTAGAGCTTGCCCTGCATATCCCTATTAGACGGGCTGCAGTTTGACCCTCAATTCGTCCATTCCCTACCATGGATGGAAAAAATCTTGCACCACCTGATGTGGCTACCCTAGTAATACAGCATTTTGGGCATCCTAACTTGGACCCCATTCGATGATTTTCTGGGCTGCTGTTAAGGAACTGGAACTAAGTTACTATAATATGGCTATATAGCAAATACTGGAACTTCCTTATTAAAGTAACTCTAAACCCTACGCCCTAAATCCTAAACCCTATATACCCTTACTATTGTAACTTAGCTCAAGTTCCTTAACAGTAACCCAGACGTTACTGTACTAATGACCAGTGAGTTGCGCTCGGAGAACTTCCGGCTAAGCCGCCTCGGAGGCTCTGCGCCTGGAAATGGGTTCTTCTTGGGTGGAGTTTGTAGGTGACATAATTTAGGGTCTATAGGATATAGCATTTCGGCTTTAGGATCTAAAGTTTTAGGATTTATGGCTTAGGGTCTAGGATTTAGGCTTTAGGATCCCAAGTTTGGGATTTATGGTTCAGGGTGTAGTGTATGATTTAAGAATTTGGACGACTTGTGTAGAATCAAACGGAACGGATACTGGGCCTCCATCTCTACTCGGCTTCTACCCGGATTCACAATGTTTCTTTGGGAGGGCCATGCGGGATTGTACAATGGATCTACATATGCCTGGCTGAAGAACGCGACATTTTTGCTGCATGTGAGCTGACATTAGCAGAAACTCCTAATATCCCCATAACCCCTATGATACTCCCCTATATAATCGTTCTACAGCCCCCAATTTAAGGAGTTCAGACCCCTAAACCCTGAACCCTATATAACCGCCTCTAAGGAGTTTAGACTAGAGCTCATTTGGGGATGCGAAGCGCAAGGTCGTTGACGGGTTTACCCTTAGGGGCATTGGGATTTCAAAGCTGTGGGGGATAGAGGTCCCGCATGTGCTCCCGAGATAACAAGGTAAGCTTCTAGAGGCGGGTGCTTCGGTGTATTCCAAAGCTACATTACCTTGCTGCCTGCTGAACTCTACTTTTCCCGCCGATCAAGGTTGTTTCTTCGCATCCTGTGACTAGAAATCTTTTTGGGGTTACTTCAATGATTGTGATTGGACCAGTCTCAGAGGGCCACACGGAGTTCAAAAAGAAGGAATTGCGAGATAATGTGTCGCATCACGGTATGGAACTGCAACGACATGATGGCCGCCGTGTTGAAATGTTACAAATGACTTGTTCCTACGAGCTACAACCCCAAACCAGGGAATCATGATCTCCGAGCGCCAGCGTCCGTGGGCTATGGGATGTCATTGGTTTCTTGGGGCTCTTGGACAGAGAAGTTCTGGGGCTTGATAACTTTCAAGGAATATCATGGAGTACTTGTTTCAAGTTGTGGGCTTGAAGTCATCAAGGATACTTGATTTTTCAAGTTGCATGACAATGGACATATGACGGCATAAGGGCAGCGGCCAATTCCAGACAATTTGGACCAAGACACATGTATGCCTACAGCTTTGAGGTTTCAAGCCGTGTAAATCCTGGGTGGCTTAATTAAGGCAAATCAACGTGCACATATATCGCTGGCAAAGACAACCTTACCTCTTCAGCAAGAGATTGAAGCGTCACGGCATTTGCACCTGACAAAGCGAAGTGAACAAAAGCTCAGCAAAGTCCAAAGTATTAAGTTGGCACTCATTCGCCCACGCTCCAAACCCACACTTGTCGGGCACCTGGTGTGTCCATCCAGAAAATGACATCCTCCATCCTTTGTTCGCAAACAATTCCAACAAGTGCGGGCAACTGCTGTCGCGCGCTCGACCGTCACCCGTTAGGCAAAGGTGTGGACTAAATTTGAATCACAATTTTCAAGAAAAGGGCAGACTGGACGGGCCTGAAGGAACCATATCATGGCCAGCCATGTTTGGCCAAGCCACTCGGCAATGTCTTCGGCAGATGTAAGCGAAAGCAGTCGGGACAAGGCAAGCAGGCCTGAGCAACCCAAGGTGTGTTTGTTTAATTCAAAATTTAAGCAGCTTGCGAGACTAACAAATGCAGCAACACAAATCATGGTCATGGATTTGGGACGTCCGCGGCTGACAGTTCACGACCTTTCATTTGCTTCTTAGGAACCTTTAAGCCCATTTATCGTTCACACCCTTTGGTACAAGCTTCTGCGCGCCGCGTTTTCCTCAAAGGCCATCCCCACCCGTCATCGGCGGCCGCTGCAGGAACATGGATGAAACTGCTGCTGCAAAGCAACCGAAAAGGTTGCAAACAGTTTCCAATTTCGTTGCGTCGGCCACATGCTCCAAGCAACTTCAGCTCGCCATTATGGAGCAACAAACCATGCCAAGAATCGCACGTAAAGAACCCGCAACAAATATTGATGAGCAGCAAGCACGTGCGAATCCCAACATGTCCCTTTCCAATCTGTGCTGCCATATTCTTGCATCAATAAGGCTGTCTGCAAAATTCTGGGAGCGGATAGCTTTTACCCAATACATATTCAGGGACGTAATATATGTCATAGAACTCTCCCAAGAGGCCCGAATTTCTGGGAACGGCGGCAGGTGGATTTGCGTGCTCACTGGACTTTAAAGCAAGTAAACTGGGTTTCATGCGTACT